GATTCTGGACACACACACACACACACACACACACGCACCAGCATGTGTTTCAAGACACTGGGTCTGGGACTCGAACCTCAGTCAGACATTTGGGAGTCCAGCCACCTTAACCACCCCATGTGCTGGCCCTTTTTAAACTTACTTCTGCTTTATGAAAGAATGGTGAATAATTTATTGAACCAACAATAGAAATGCCGTGTAACAGGTTCTATTAATGATTGAAATACTTGGGAAGAAAACAGTTTGAACTAACGACTTTGGCACTGTGATTGAGAGGGGCTGCACAGCCTGAGCTATCCAGCATGTCTGTCGATATTATACTTTGTTTTTATTTCTTTTTTTAAAATTTACTTATTTATTTATGTATTTCATAAGAGAGAGACACGAGAGAGAGAAGCGGGCCCCCAATAGGGCCTTCACACCACGATCCACCCCCAGCCTCTGCGGGTGTGGGTTGTGTGTGTGGACAGTGTATCCAGGGAGGCCTTGGGATGTGAACCAGGGGCCTTCTCATGTGGGTCCAGCATCACAGAGCATTGCATTACTGCCTTGCCACCAGCTATTCCCTGATATTATCCCCCTGACATTACACTTTGGGTCAGAGTCTCTAAAGTTTTTTCACAGTTTGAGTAGATTTACAGTTCACATACTATTATATTTTAATACTATATTATGTTGTAATTTCTAACATTTTTTACATTATCTAAGTGAGAGATTTTTTGGTATTTAAACATTTAAATTTGATTTTAGTTTGATTCTATTTCCATATGAGCAGGTAGTTTTGTAACTGTCATAACGTTCAGGAGTCTGTCTGAATGTAGCCACATAGACACCATTCTGAAATGACATTTAATTTTGAGGAATAGATCTATATAAGTCTTTACTATAGAAATGTTATCCTGTGATCTTGTATACATTTCTCAGGAGAATTACGTGTAGACATAACCAATATAAGACCTCAGTGATGATGCATCAATTTTTGCTTTCTAAAAATGTATATACATTCTGACCTTTGGGTTCCTATGTTTTAGGTAAAATATCTTAGAATATATTGTATTGTTAACAATTTTGTTAAAGAAAGTTCTCCTTTTTAAAGTTGTCAATGTCTAACTTCATTATTTTTAAAAATCTGCTTTTATTCTTCTAGAGTTAAGCTGAGATATGTAAAACTAAAGAAATACTTGAAGGAAATATGTGAATCTGAAAAGAAGGCTCGTACTCGAAACCAAGACTATTTAAAGCGATTTGAGCATGTCCAAGTTCATGTTGGACGCTTTACTACGAATACAGAGAAACTTCAAGAACTAAAGGTGATGTCTTGCTTTGCACTATCTTTAAGGCTTGTCTGGCTAACATGGAAGTAATGAACAGTACAGGTGACTCAGCTCAGTGGCAGCCGTTGTTCACATGTGTGAGTGAGTCTCATCTTTCTCTGTGAATTACCACGTAGGCAATCTTGATTAGAGAACTCAGAACTGCATTTCCTAATAGCGGAATGTCTTCGAGATCACTAATTAGCACCTGGCATGGTGTCTGACTGATGGTTCTTATCGGCCAAATAATTGAATTTGAGCAGCATTAGAGTTCCTTCTAGAAACTGCTTCCCTGTCTGCAGGGTTCTTTTTCAGTGGTCTGGGTGCCTCTCCTCTGGTCAGTCAGTGCATTGAGAAAGAACCCAAGGCAAGAACTCTCCCTGAAGACTTCACCTGCTTGCTCTGGACTGTGCAACCCAGAGAGAGCACTCTTTGCAGTCCTCTCTGATTCTAGCACCCCTGTCCTTGCAAGGTGCTTGGCTACCTGATGTTCACAAATTATGCCAAGAGCAAAGGCCAGGAGCTAGGCGTTTTCCTCCCCACGTGCACTGATAACCCGAGTGAGCACTGGTTACAAGAGGAGTCAGTGTGAGTATTTCCTTTTCATACCATGGCTTTATTTTATTGATTCTTATTATAACCAAATGTGGAAGGAATAAAAGACTCATCTTATAAATATTGTTATGTTGACAGCATTGTTTGTATATAATAGGATATGTTTATAAAGAAACTTGCATGGCAAACTGTAAAAGAATATCAGTAGAGGGGACCATTTTAAAGAAAAAAATGACAAACTACATCATAGAAATATGAAAAGCTTTATTCATAAACATGATTCAAACATTACATAGATGGCCCTTCTTTGAATTTCAGATAACAACGACTGTTATTCTTTTAAGTTTACTTAGTTATTTCTTCCATGAAAGAGAGAGAGACAAGCACTACCTACAGGGCTCCCACACCCTGATCCACCCAGAGGCACAGCTAACCTGGATCAGGGAACACGAACCTAGGACCCTGCCTGCCTGGGTCTAGCTGCACCACTGCTCTGCCACTGTCTGACCCGAGAGAATGTCCTTTCCAGAAAAAATTCTGCTGATGGCATAAGAAAGTGGGGAAGAGTGTTCCCTGGAGAACTGTGCTTCGGCCACCACCCGGTTCTGAGCCACATGCTTGCTGTATGCTCACATCACAGTGATGGTCAGTAGGGTCACCATGAGCAGAGTCTCAGAGGAGGGAATATTTGTGTGTTGTGCCTTCCTGTTTCTTTTTGCTTCTTTTTGTGCCGGTATCCAGTGGTAGCCTTAGGTATGCTGGAACTACGTGTGTCCTCTTAGCGCTGCCCCGTTCCAGTGCCGGATTTTCACCTCCTTGGTTGGCTGACCTCTCAGAAGTCTTAGGAGACAAGGGTTCACAGTGTGTTGCCTACACCCCCACATGCTAGGGGCATCTCCCCTAGAATGGAGTACAGTTAGTGAGAATGAACTTCCAACTGGTAGCATTCCGAAAAGGTGAGACAAAGCGAAGCTAGGGGGTGGGGTGGGGGGTAGGACATGTGCTGAAATCTACTAAATGAATTTTCCCCTCTTCGTAGAGGTGGCAGGCCCAACTTATATATCGTTATTTATATAACCTTTTAGTATGGGTGGTAGCCTGAAGACACAACTAATTTTTATTTTTATTTTTTTTGCATCGTAATACATGGTTGGGAGCATATAATAGTTTTTAGGATTTTTAAGGATATTGGTCTGTTGTGTAGTTTTTTTTACTTTATTTTTAT